TAATATTCTGTAGCACCTAGCAGAGCACTCCACACATTTCTCTCTGTAGATACTTAAAATAGACAATATTTTCCTACTACAAAATACAACAAATAAAAATCTCAATAATTCTATAAATCAATGCAAAGTCTTAAAGACTAGGTCTTGATTGATAACTAACAGTTTAATGGAGAATTAATCTGTCAGACCAATTTGGTGTTTTATGTCAAGATGCCTGAGCAGATGCAATAAGAGTAATCCACAGAAGTTATTAGAAATGTGTTGTTGCCCTTTGTGTCACATTTACCAACAGAAAGACTACACGTCCTTGAAATAAGTATTCCTCAGTTCGGGGTGATAAGTAAAAGAAATCCAAAGGACAGTTTCCCAAGGTCCTCAAGAATATCTACTCGTTTCCTTCATAATGAACCGTAAGACTCTCAGTCATGTTAACCACTCCGGTGTGCTCTCTCTCTTCCCCTAAATGCTATGGTTATCTTCTCTGAAATGTGCCCTTTCAGCACCACCCCTTTCCCAAACAAAGAGATTTAGAGTTGTTGAAAATCATTCACTGACCTGGATGCAGCAATGGCTCTTGATACAGATAAGGGGGCGCAGGCTGATTTGAGCCCCTCCCACCTCCTGCTGAGATCTTGTCAGATATTTTGGAACATACATCTCATCCCACATTCTCTACTTTCCATGCTACCCCCCTGCTTTGTGAGTCTATTCCCTCTCGTCATCTGCTGAAAGGATGTAGAGGCACTGACCAGAACCTCCTGGGAACTGTTTAAATCATACAGATGCCCAGTTGCCAGTGATTCTGGTTTACCTGTGCTGAAATAGAGGCCAGTCATCAGTGCTTTTAAAAAGTCCTCTCACGTGATTATGTTGTTAAGCACCTTCTCAAACTTTAATGTGCACGTAAATTACCCAGGGAAATGGTTGAAATGACTCAGTAGATCAGTTCAGGGTGGGGCCTGAGATTCTGCATTTCTAAGAAGGTCATCTCTGGGGTGCTGCTTTGTGGACCACATGTGAGTAGCAAGGCCTGTTAAACTGACAGGTTTGGGAACCGAGCCAGAGCTAGAGCTAGCACTCCCCCATCTGCCTTCCCTTTTCCTCTCCAGCTACCCGCCCCCCCCCCAACATTACTTATGTATTTTAGATTCCAGTGCTGAGTAAGACTAATAGCCTAGAGGAAGAAATTGAAGAAAACCTGCCAACCTGCCTTGATGGAAGAACAATTAGGTCAGCGAATGCAAAAGCATACTCTATGGTGCCTTGTGTGGACTCTGGAATCACCTGTGCATCCGCTCCTTCAGAACCTGAACATCCTGAAGGAGCAGACGCACACAGTGGGCCCTTCAATAAGTCTCCAGGGAGAGAGGGGAAGGTTTGAGCCTAAGTCTTTCCTTTGCACAGTAAGACCGTCAACACCTCAACTGCCCTTTCCCTGTATCTTCATCAGATTAGCTTCAAAATCTGGTTTAACACCCACGTCTTCAAAGATAGATATTTTAACTGAACTGACCTAGTTCTGCTGACTTCTCTGTAGTGTAAAGAGTAACCTTTTTCTAAGGATAAGGATGTATATATAGCATAACATTTTCATTGCTGATATATTTCTTTGTGTCTTCTTCATAAATAAAGCACGAGTTCCTGGAGATCTGTGTCCATCATTTCTTTGGTGTAAGTCTCACAACAGTTAATCAATTTATGCTTATTGCCCACATGGTGGACATTCAACATTCTCACTAATCAGCAGTATGGAAGCAGGATCCAAGTAATTTTTATACATTAAAGTAATTTGAAAATAAATGAATAAACTTCAGCAGTACAAGTATAGAGTAATATATGGAATAAACACATTGCCTTTAATTGAAGAGGTTACAATTGTTTTCCTTATGTACAATTAAATTGAAAATCAGGCCACTCATGTAGCAAATTCATATTGGAATTCTCTATTATAAAAACAAATATGGGCTTCAGTTAAGAAAGTAAATACAGAAATACTAGCTCTTCCTTCTATTATATTCAGAATTCATCTGACCCTAGACTTTGCAAATACAAGTAAATGGAAGTCTATGAAGAATTATTAAAAGGACCAGAATTAAAGTGTTGAACCCAAGGAAATGGATAAATTCATAATTAGTTTAAACTGTATGAAAAGTTCATGCTTTATAAATGGTAATGAGGATCAAGGACAAAGAAGGTAGTAAAAGAATGTTGAATGAATGTGAGTGAATGAAAGAAGGAACTAGTGAATGAATGTGCTGTTCTCAGACGCCATTGATGTGAAACAAAAGGGTACGGATTTCCAAAGTAGCATGAGTGATGAAACACTGATGTCAGAAATACCCTAGTAATGAGAGGGACTGGGCTGTAGTCTCAGCTTTCTAATATAATCTTGGGTAGGTCGTGTAATCTTTCAGGTCTCAGCTTCCTCATATACAAAATAAAATATGTACTAGGTGATCTCTAAGAGTCCTTCCAGTTCTAGAATCCCATGAATCTATCAAGCCAAATTAAACTAAAGCTTTCATTAAGAATCAGAAGATTTTTACCAGTTTCTAGACAAAGATTCTAATTTGCTTTTGAAATTTCAATTCAGTATAGAAAATTTATGTTGGCGTACCTTGCGTCAGAGGGAAATAAAATTTGTTTTGTATTTTGTAAAACTTGCAAAGATGTTGAAAATTCCTCCCCCGAAGGTCCTTAAAAACAGTACAGAATTTTGTGTCTCATGGATGCTTTAAATGTTCTCTTATCTCAGGTTCAAGTGGCAAATAAGTTTCCCTGTGGTATTCCAGCTCCCATCACAGTGTAGAGCTCTGTATGTAAAGCATCCTGAAGCCCATTAGGACTAGGTGTTCCAAAGTGCCACAATCACATCAATAACGTGCCCTTCAGAGGCAGGGAACTGTAGCGCCAGACTGAAACATATGCCACGTATGAAAAATTAGATTAACTTCCTAACCCTTCAAGTTCTTTAAACTATTTACATTTCAACTTAATATTAAAAGTAATCATTCTTGAATGATGGATGTAATGAAATAAAAGAATTCATTCTTGTATTTTACTTTTAAATACCAATTAATTCAGCAATAACAAAAATACCTTATTCCAGGGGATTTTGTTGTACTATCTTTCAGTCAGTCTTGCCCATTATGAGTAAGAACCTATTGATTCTTACCCTGTAAATTATCCATTGTTATTATTTTGATGGAAATTGTCTACTTTCATTCTCTTACTTACTCCCCTTCTGCATACGTATGTTGATTTACATATGCTAGGACCTATGCTGACCGAAGGAATCAGAATCTGACTTAAGGGAAATCTCGGTAGCACAATAACTAAAAAGCTGTGTTTCTCCCTCATGCTATATGCCCAACATAGTCATCAGGGGGTAGGCAGTGAGAGAGCGCTGTTCACCGTAGTCCCATGGGGCCCTAGTCTAAAGAAGGCTTCATTTTGTCGTGTGCTTTCATGATCATTACAGCACTAGAAAGAGAATATGGTAAACCTGACCCTGGCTCTTAAAGCTTTTAGTGACTTAGTGCCACTTCTGCTCTCATTTCTTTCAAATTATACATTCTATGCCTAATTTTAAAGGGAAGGTAGAACAGGAATATGAAATTTCTACCTGTGTCCAGAGAGCATAGCAAAGACAGACTATTTGCTGAACAGTCTCAAGGTGACCACACGAAGCCATGCCTGGGCTGGCATTAACAGGGAAACCAACTTTGGTCACTTTGAACCCATAGCTGAGTACTGTACAAGACGTCTCCAGTCCCCAGGTAGCGCTGCCCTTGAACTGTTATACTCAGTCCCATGAGCATAGACAGGCATTCTAGCTCATCCTCTGACTTTTGATTATAAATTCCTTATGGACATTTTACTCAAGGCCCTAGAGATCTGTAACAATTCTATCCCTCCTATACAAAAAGGGATATGAATGACTGCCTGTCAAGAGGAGAGTAGACTACGGCTTCTCTGTCCTTCTCTCCCACTGCCTTTCCTCCAGTTCCAGAGGGGCTCTCCACTCCCTCTTCCTTTTGACAAGGAAATCTTTAGTAATGATACTATGACTTTCAGTAAAACTCTATATTTGAATCTCCAACTTTGCTTGTATATAAATATATAGGAAAGTTTTAAAGTTTAGAAATCTCTTGTCTCTCAAAAATTCCATGGTGAGATGAATATTACTGGGGATCCAAGAAAGAGGACATTGAGACTCAAAGCAGAACAATGAAACTGTGGTCTAGGTGACATCTGCCCTTACCCACAAATAACAAGTGGCCTTGATTCAACAGTAGCTGTAGGGCAACGTAACTTTCAGAGAATGAAAGATTCATCTGATTAAAGCTTTTTCAAAACTGTTATCTTCAAATTAAGCAATGTGGAATATTAAACTTCAGGGCAATAAATTAAATGTTTTTCATTAGCTGGGGGAGTCTTTATGAAAAACGTAATAGGAGTCCTCATATACAATTAGATATATCTATGTTGTCACTGATGTTTCCCCAGGTGAAGCATTTAGCAGTTGGTCGTAGCAGGTCATATCTTTCATACGTTTCTCACTTAACAAGCTTCAGTTTGATAACTATTAATTTTTAAAAGAAAATGGATAAAGAGTAAAAATGGCATAATACGTTTTGCCTCACTTTTTTGTGTTCAAGAGTATATATTCATCTACTTTCAATCTTCAGTGTACTTTCTGGATAATGTTTCTTCTTTATTATGTCATAGGACATGCCCACTTTCAGATGAAGCTATGTTTAGAACAATCCATTGTGTAATCTCTGCCAGAATCTCCTCCTATGTTAAGGGGGTTGCAATAAGCTGCCTACTTAAATTTTTATTAATGCTTCATCAGATCCTCCATAGAAAATTCAGTTCATTCTTGAAACACTCACACCTCCCTTTCTGCTGCTGCTTTTTCTTGCAGCTTCTGTTTCTGCTCTTACTTTTGAACTTCCCATAGTCACTGATTGGATACCAGTCTCTCACATACTCACATTTCATAATGCCCTTGAGCGTTTGGACATTCTCCCTTTGCCATGAGTTAGAGGTCTGTTAAGGAAAAAAAAAATCTAATCAAAATAATTTACTCATTCTTAACTTTCTTGGGGGTATCTGCATTTAAAATAAATTTTTAACTATGATGAGTTCAAGTAGTGTAACAATGATGTGAACAATTTCAGCAATGAGAATAGGCAGATAAAAAAATACAGTCACATACACACAGAGAAAAAAGTAAAGCAAGTTATACATATAAATATAATGATTTGGGGGACACATCACCAAGTTATTATTTATCTATTGGAAGCCAAGCTGGCCTTGAATTTCTAACTATTGTATTGTACATCTTTAATAAAAACATGAAATACACCATATTTTACACAATTTACAATGTTACCCCCAAAATGTATTAATTCTTATGACTACAAATAGTGAAAATTCACCACAAAGTCATGCAAAATCAATGAGCCATTGTTAAGAAAGTCAGAGAATCAATGAACACCGAGGGAGTAAATCCATTAGTTTACTTGCCTTCTTTCCGAAATGCTGAAGGTAAATCTATTTGGTAGGACAAAATGGTTGTATCTATTTTATTAACTCTTAGAATTATGGAATTTAATAAAAGAGTGGTTCACCTGATTATATTCCTTAGTGTTTTTATGCACTAAAATGGTAAGTCCTTCTGTCCGTTTTAGTAGGCAAAACAAAGGCCCCCCAGGAACAAGGCATGTACAGAGTGGTCCTTTTTAATGAGGAGCCCTCTATGTTGTAGTCACAAATCTTAAGTAATGCTTATCTTAGCCTTGAGACAAGAGAGAACAGAAGGAAAATAACAGGCTGAAGTTACCTCTCTCTAAGGGAAAGCCTTATGACTTCCCCTAAGAATAGAAAGCCCCAACATTTTTTCTCCATGAGTTCCAAACAATTATAGCTCTCTACTTATGGACTTAAATTTGTCCCCAAAGTGTCCTGGAACTTTGTACTGGTTTGATATGCTGAGGCTTCAAGTCTAGAATTTAAACTCAGTCCACAGCAAGAACCAAACCAGAACCAGAATACCCTTTACAGACTGAGTACATGGTAAACCTCGGTTTTGCTTTCCTGTTTCAACTCAGTGTCAGTTTCTGACCCGCAAAGGGTTCAAAAGTTTGACTTTAGACAGAGGTCAATAACTGTTTCTTAGCTCTGCAATGGATTAAAATCAGCCAACGATGCTTTGTAGCTCCTCATATCAAAAGAGGGAGTCCACTGGGTAAACCTTGACCTACAGAAGGTAGTGGAAATGACACTGGAGGACTTCCAGAGGGCCTTACAGCTCCCCCTTTCACGCATCTAGAATCCAGAGTGCTTCATGAGTTTTTCAGAGGATGAAAAATTACCCAGGAAGAGAGGCCTAACTTCTCTGCTGTCTCGGTTGAGCCCAGGCCCAATGAGCTGAAAGCTGAATATAGCATATGAGTGAGGCATACGAGTATATGAGGGAGACCAGCAGGAGACCCAGTCAACCCACAAAATTATGGGAAGCCATATGTAGTTGACACTTTAAACCACTTGAGTTTAGGGGTGGTTTGTTATACAGAAATATGTAACAAAAGCAAGCTCCCTGGGAGGAAAATCTTTTCTTTCTCTCCATCGTCTTGCAGACGACTTCTCACTAAGACCTATAAATATAGAATACCACCTGCCAAACTGGAAAAAGTCAAAGGCAGGCCAGCCTCCAACTGCCAGAACCACCACCAAGCTAGAAGCTTTTCTATTCTTCGTACTGGCTTGAAATTCCCTACCTCTGAGGCTTTCCCCAAAGGCCAATGTAAAGTCAAAATATGTTTCCAGAAACAAAGATTTACATGGGGGAAGAGAAGGAGGATTGTGTGGGGAAGAGGGGAGCTTGGCAGTGGGCAGGAGAATGAGAGCAGCCAGACACCTTTGAGGGCGGACCTTCCTTTCTTCGCTGGGTACTCTAAATATACTCAAACACCTGTAAGAAACTGGAGGAATGAAATGTCATTTTTCTCACAGAAGAGGAATTCATCCACCCACAGTGTAGCTACAGTAAACCGGTCAAATCATTAACCTACAAAGACCCCCACATAGGTATCAGCCATTAACAACACTCCCACATAGTCAGTATGGAGCCACGCTGAATTGCTGGAGGAGGAGGAGGCCTGATACCACTCCAGGAGTACGGCTACCTCCCCAGCAAGCAGGCAGCCAACCTTGACCACCGACCTTCACAAAATGAGATAGGAGAACAGCTTATCCTTCCACCTCTGAGTTAGGGCCAGTCTAAGCAAGAGAAGGAATCCTTCTTTATCTGCATTAAGACTCACCATTAGTCCTTTAAATGCTGCACATCTTGGATGCAAAGTTTATCGACCCCGACCCTTCCCTAAACCATTGTTCCCCTTTCCTCTTCCCACAGCAGACCCCCAGCCCTTATCACCAGCGTGTGTCTCCTGGAAGCCTTAATGGCTTATGTGGCTGTCTCCCTCACTGAGGGTGTGCCACTTGAGGGCAAGACTCTAGTCTTCATGGTTTTGTGTTTCTAGAGCCTAGCATGGTGTTTGCCACATGCTCAGTGAATGCTGAAATAAGGGGTCACGAGCTGACCAAAAGTAGCTACCCAAATGCATCAGCAGTAACATATGTAAACCATGGCTGGTAGGTAAGTATCTAGATGGAGAGAAGTTGTTTTTGTTTTGGTTTGGTTCGGCTTGGTTTGCTTTTTTAATAGAGCTTCTCTGATAAGACGTTTCCTTAAAGCTTGCTGTGGAACAGGCCCTTAGGTGCATCTATGTGCCATTTTATTTCTGTCATGAACCATAACATTGTTTTTAGCACGAGCACCTATACAACCTATAAAGTCATCCTTTCCATGCTCCTGTCTTAAAGGTTGTGCATAAACCCCTGCTTCTTTGTCTCGCCTGAAGTCACTCATAGTAGGCGCCAACAACATACATCTGTGGGATGAACGGATGACCGATTTACCTTAGCTGCCACCTTTCCCTACCCTTTCCAATAAAGTTCCCTCGCTCCCTTATGGATTGTGCAAGACTGGTTTTAAACCTAGCAGGAAAAACAAGTAGATAAAAAGTGACTTATACACACCAGCCTTAAAACCAATATTATCCTTTGCTGCTGCTGTATCCTGACTGCCTTTCTCCTTCTCTTCCTGCTCATCACCTGGTTTCTGATACCTGGCTACAATTTTGAACACAAACTTTGCTTTGCTCCTTGCCATTCTGATTCCAGTTTTTCACTTTGGTTGAGCCCACGACCTTGCTCTGAGGGCCACTGTGTGCCTGCTTCTGTACTTGAGAAGACTTCCTGGCTTGTAAGCCTGCAGTCTCTCCTGATTCTCTCCCCTTCACCCAACTCAGTTTTAATCTGAGTGCATTCTTCTGGAAAGGCCAGGTGACATGGTAGAGAAAGCACTGGCTTTAAATCAGACAATCTGATTTCAAGTCCCAGCTCTGACACTTATGTGTCACTTAGGGACTCCACAAGAACTTTTGGAAGGTACTTTTACAAAAGGGCTATTTATAGTTAGCACAAAGTGAAGTGAAGCAATAGGAGATGTTAAGGCCCCCAGGAACTAGCCATTCCCACTCCTAGGTAAAGAGGCAGGGAGAGTAAACGGTGTTACTGAAAACTGGTTGAGAGCCAGAGCCATAGAAAAGAGGCTGCTTGACAGAGCTCTGGCCACCCCTAGGGATGCAGCCACTTCCAGAAGGAGGCCGAAGCAAGGAGCGAGCAGAATCACTCCTTCCTCCCATGCTCCGATCTCCTGCTGGTGCCCCCACTGACCGAACTCAACCAGGAACCAGAGGAAGAAAGCTCTGGTGATTAGTCCATAGAAATCAACATCCTGAAGGTCAGGGAGGGCAGAGAAAATAGATGTTTGGGTCATATAAAATATTACCAGATTTAACATAAATATAATATAAAACAACCAGAATAGTTTCTACATAAATTTAGGCCAGCGACTTTATCTTTCTGGCTTACATGGTCTTATCTATGAAACAATGTGTTTTGAGGCTGTTTCAAGATAACACCTGCTAGAGCAACTGCAAAAAATTTGCTCATCAAAACTATCCCTCATGTAGCCTTGCCCACGACATCTTGCAGGACTTGCATGGCTTTGGTAGTAATCCCTCAACAGAAAGCTGTGACCTCAGCCACTCAAGCTTCACTGCTGACTTTCTGAAGAGTCTCCTGGGACAAAAGACACAGATATCAGTCCTCATCCAAAGATAGGAGTAGGGAAAAGAAAGGAGTAACACAGAATAAAAAGGACAGTCCGCACTCAGTGAAATCCATGTTCTTTCCTCACCTACGATTCGTAAATACAAAGGGAGAGTGAGTCGAACCTCCATAGGTGCAAAAGCTCCTTTTCCCTAATCTCTCTGGTCATCTGTCCAGAATCTGAGATTTAAAATTTGTCTTCCTTGTCCCCAGGTCTAGAGACATCTAAATAGATTAAACTAGTCCTGGATCTATTTTGCTAGGCCAGCGTCATCTAGGGTTCTTGTAAGAGTCTAGGCATTTCCAGAAAATCAACGAGTTTGCAGGCAGATTTCTAAATCTGGACCTATTCAGTTAAACACAATTCCGTTAAGTGAAAGCTGTGATGTCACAAAACTAGAAATAGCTTTGACATTTGCAATTACAAGTCTGTCTTTCTTTTTTGGATATATTGCCATTTTTTTCTGAGCTAAAAGGGGCTTTAGAGATGATTTAGTTGAATTCCCTCATTTTTCAGATAAAGAAACCTGAAATACACATCAAACTGAGAACAAGGACACACCTTGATCCCAAGATTTCTAGTCTCCTTCTTACCACAACACACAGCCTCTTTATATCTAAGCTCTATGATCAAACAAAATTTTCTGAGGTAGTGAATTATTTATGTTAAGTACAACTGGATATTCACTTTTTAAATAAGCCCCGCAAGGAACTGATTTGTGAAAGAGAGGAAATTTTAAAAATAGGCACACCAGACAGTGCTCACCACAATTTTACAAGTGTCCCATAACTTCATCTGGGAGGAAGAACATTCTTTCTTGTTGACAGAAAGTCATTAATCATGGGTCTTGATTTTCTCATTTTCTTAATGCTATATAACCAGTAAATCATTTTTAAAATGGTTATAATAATTATATCTCCTTTATTTCTCTCTCTAAAAATAGAAGTTTCCTTCATCTACTCATTTTAATGACTTTTAAAGGCTCCTGTCTGTTCCCTATTTCAGGGATGACTTCTAGCTGCATCAGTTACACAGACCCCGCCCGCAGTACCCTGCTCGACTTACTCACTCAGATGCCTCCAGATCTGAGTAACTGGAGAGCTGAGCATTTTCAGGATCTGCATGTTAGCTCTGTGGTATAATGACTGATGTCAGCCCGAACTCTGCCAAACATCTCTCATCACTGCTAGTTATGTCCCATTCCAAACTATGGGGCTTGCTCTCTCTTTCTGGAGCACACCCCCTTTCACATATTTGCAGTATGGATTCAACAATATGACAATCATTTTCTTTCCTTAAAGTGCCACTGTTGCAAGGGACAAAAATAACTTGTTACTGTTGTCACTGCCTGGTGTGGGAAGCAGAAAAGGAGAGATGAGAAGTTGCAGTAACCAGTCTGGATGTGTTTAATCCTCTATCTTTGTCCAAAACTATTCTATTCTGCTGGCCCAGCTCTCTTAAACTCCTGGTTATCTAAATTCCCTGGGACTTTAATGTTTTCTGGAGGGAAAATAGCAAGCAAATGTTGACTTCTATACTGAGCTTTAGGCCTGGGCCCTGGAATCCATTGGCAGCCACAGGCTTCTGTGAGTGTTGTTTTCTTAATTAAAAAGAAAAGAAAGAAAGAAAGAGAAGAGAAGAAAAGGTACTATGTTGCACAAAATAGGCCATGGCAAGCTTTCCATAAGCTGCTAGGGTGGTTGAGGGGACATAAGACTCAGCCAAGCAAGTAAGCACACATTTAATAGTCTGGTAACATGGATCAGGAAAAAGTTATTCTAAAGCATAGCGTCAAGAGAGAGAGAATACACTGGCCGTTTATTTAATGTTTTCCTTATGTTTCCTCCGAGCAGCACTTACTCCTTGATGAGACTTTCCTGCCCACTGCATCTAGTACTTCTTTTCTGGGATGGCCCAAGAACTGCAGCTTCTCACTGTGTTTGTTTATTTATTTACACGGCCATTCCTGTTCTCATCCAAACTAACATATGTCTGCACAACACACAGTGAAAAGTAAATGTCTTTCTTCATGTTTATTTCCCTGAACTTGTTCACCAAAGTGCTCTTTTTTACATCCCCTTTTGCAATCTCATCCCATCCGGCTCAAGTATCTCGGATTAGAAAGGCCGTCTCTGGAGTCCTTTTCAAAGGGAGCCTCCCACAGCCTTTAAATCCCCCACGTTTTATGGTGCAGATATTCAGGATCTGAGGTATTAAATAAGAAGGAAAGCAAAGCTGACTGAGACGGGCACAGAAAAATAGAGTAGCTTCTTTTTTGGATAATCATTATTGGAATTGTCCTGTTATCTGCAAGTTTTCTGGTTCAAAGTAATAAACTCAGTCATTTGCAACTGGACATTATGCAACAGATACAGGAAGGGTGTGTGTGTGTGATGCACGGAAAATACAGTTCCACCACAGAAAGAGACATGTTGCAAATGGGAATTTTTAAATAAGCCCCAAATCATAAGCTTGACGGATTGTTGTCTTCCCCACAATATAAAATCTTAAAAAAAAAACTATTCCTACCTTCAAAATTCCAATACATGTATGCAAACTAATAAACAATATTTAATTAAGGAAGCATGGAAAGCCTAGTCTCTCAGATTCTAATTTTTAACACCTTAAGAAGAATGCCTATTTCATGTTCCTTTTCTTTTGCTTCCAGGTCATTTCATCTCCTCAACCTCACTTCCGAGCTGTATAACAACTACCCCCATCTATGTCTTCACAGACACAACAGTTTGAAGCTTTGAAAGCCTATAAAATGGGATGGATAGAAGCAATAACCTTTTTTCTCCTCCTCTCATTTATCAACATACAAATGGAAGGCAATCCAGTAATAGGGATGACAAATGGATGCAAGAGAGAGAAGCACAATCCTTACTTGTTTTCCTGCAAGGCTTTATTTAGCCCATTTTCTAAACTTAAATTATTTGAACATAAGAATTAGCAAAGTGTCTTTGAATTAGGGACTTTTTCAAAGTGACATCTTAGAAGTTTGGGGTTGTGTAAAACTGTAATGCTACAAAATCCTTGAGACAGTCTGTTAAACACAACACATAGGACAGATTTACATTCAGATCATTTGGGGAGCTTGTGACTTCCAACTAAATATTTCTCCAGTAACTGCTGGAAGCTCTTAGACTTGTGCTACTGGAGAAGAGGGGTGTGAAGCTTACCACTGACTAATAACAGCCCCAGTGTACACCGCTCAGGAGTGCCGGCCCTCGACTTTCCCACCCTTGGGTGGGCCTATGAACCTTCTGTTCCGCTGTCACGGGCCCCTACCTGCCCTGGGGACAGAAGGCAGTAATGGACCCTCTCTCTCTCCCCCAGGACCGAGGGAAATCTTTCCAAACGTTCCCAGTCCTCCAGATGAGAAACCAAATTGCACAACAGATCTTCTGGAGAAGATTGAGAGACAGAGAGTGAGAGAGAGCTGCGCCCGAGCGCGGGCAAGCTGACTGTGGAGGGAACTGGGGGGAGGAGGAATCTTCCAGAGCCTCAGCAAAGACTCGGTTTGGAAGAAAGTCGCAGCACAACTGAATATCCAAAAGGACTGTCCTGAGAGCACACACCTCTTCTGAGTCCAGCCTCCTTCGGGCAGATAACCGGCTGCCGAGTTGACCACCAGCGCCCACTGAACTTCCTCCGGACCACCCGCCCGGCGACAAACTGTAGCTACTTTTATTGGAAAAAAGAAAGAAAAGGGGGAAAGCAACAGTACAAGGGGTCAAGGAAACTAGGAAGGTGTCCACAGCCAGAAACTCTCCAGCCTTCTGCCAAGGGGGCGAGGAGCGAGCTGCCCTGGGGCCAGTGTTTGCGCGCCAGCGCTGGGAGTGGAAGCGCGAGGGACCGAGGACGCGCGGCCCCCGGGAGCCGAGTGCATCCAGCGCGCGGAGGCTGAAACTGCCGGACTAGGAGGTGGGGAGGGGTCTCGCGCCCGCTGGACCTTCGACCTCAACACTCCCAGTGGGAGCGCTCCCACCTCTCCCCGCGAGAGCTACCCTTCTGAGGAACTCTTCTGGGCACGCATTGCCTCCCTCCCTCCTCCCCCCACCCCACCCCCGGCTCCTGTTCTCCCGCCTTCTTCGCAGTGTCCAGAGATGCTCCGCCGCAGACCCGGGACCCCTTAGGCGCCTCTTCCCGTCCCTCTGCCAAATCGCAACGCCTGTACTTTTCCAGCTCCTTCTTTCTCTCTTGAAATTGAAAGTTATTGAGGTCGCTCAGGGTTGTTGCTCCAGCAGTTTCCTTCCCGCCCCGAGCTCCCCCGCCCCCGCAGCTACCCCCTCCCCTCCCTCGCCCCGTCCCTCCCTCCCACACACACACACACACACACACACACACACACACACAC